TCTTGCGTTATGCGGGCCTCTCACTGTTGTGGCCTCTCCCATTTGCGGAGCACAGGCTCCGGACGCGCAGGCTCAGCGGCCATGGCCCACGGGCCCAGCCGCTCCGCGGCACGTGGGATCCTCCCGAAACGGGGCACGAACCCGCGTCTCCTGCATCGGCAGGCGGACTCTCAAGCACTGCGCCACCAGGGAAGCCCTAGAGTATGTACTTTGGAATAAGACTGGGAATCCCCAGTTCTACCATTTACTAGCTTTATAATCTCGGACAGGTTACTTAATGTCTTGGTGCCTCTGTTTCCTTGTCTCTAAACTTGAAATGTCAATGATACCCCCATCATAGGATTGTTATGAGGACTGATGAATTCATTATACAAGAAAAGCATTTCGTACAGTGCCTAGCACATAGTAAGCACACAATAAGTGCTAGCTCTTGTTGTTGTTATTACTACAGATCTTTAAGGTGCATAACTGCTGTGTTTTACAATACCTTTCCCTTTTTATTTTTTTGTTTCTAGACCTGATTTGTTAATATAGTTGAGTATCTTCAGAAATTGTTGCTGACATGTTTTTTTCACATGGAAAGACATGTATTTGGTTTACTAAGACTATTTTCTCCACATATAGAAATTATTGACTTACCACCTTTTTAAAATTAGAATGTTTCTTTAAAAAAAAAACAACAACAAAAACCCAAACTAATAAACCTCTGTACCACTTGCCATGGTAAGGTGTTTCATCTCAAACAATAGGTCAGCAGTACCTTTTCCTCTAATAATGGGGAATTTGAGGCTTGTCAGATGAGTAAAAGTGAGAGCTCACTAGAGATGTCAGTTGCTGGTTTAAGGTAACTGGTGTACTTTTTAAAGTCTGTTGCAAGTAAAACCACTTCAGGGTAGGGCAGTGGCTAGAGCTACCATTCCTTAGACTTCAGCTTCATCCTCTGTGGATTAAGCTTATTATCTCTGTGCTGCTATGGTTGCCATGTGAGTTTAATAATGTAGCATATGTGATGTCCATAGCATGGCACTTAGCATGTCTAAAGCACTTAATATTGAGACTGTAATTAGAGAAAGATAGACTTTTATTTGAAAATATCTCATTACTTTTTGTCATCTAATATTTAATCTGAATATAATGTTCTTCACAAGTTCTCCGGTAATAGCCAGAATTAAAACTGTGGTTCTCATGTGTTTTGATGTATATTCAGAATATGTAGGAAATTTGACAGGAAAAGAATTGTAGACTACATATAGGATTATAGTGGTAAAATCACCCTTTGTTATCTAACAGTAGTGAAAACAATTCTTCTACCAATACTGCCTTGTATTTTATAGTACTTTATAATTTACAAAGGTTTTTATCTATCATCTCTCAGTAAATCATCTAGGTATGTATTGGAAGGTCAGATGTTAATAGATGAGTCCCTCGGTTCTGAGAGGTGAAGTGTCTTGTCCAAGCTTTCGTATGTAGTGACCAGAGCGCAGCCCTTTTTCTTTTCGTACTGGGGACTCTTAGACTGTGCTCGGTGTGCTCAGGTGTCATACGTCTCATCATTTCAGATTTCGTCTGTGCCTAGGTCCTTAGTCCTTCTTAAATGGCACAGTTGAAGCCCTTCTCTTCCGACCACTCATTCTTTCTTGATTTTCCAAGGCTAACAAATTTCTTATAGGAATATAACCCTGTAGAGTTTTTTACTTCTCAGACTTTTTCAGGTAAAATGGACAATCTAAAGATTAAGAGCATTCTGTACAGAGGCTAGAGTGTTTCTTTCACTGTCACCCCACCCTGGAAGATAATCTTCTTAGCCCCCAGCTCCATGGTACAGTCTCGTCTCACTACACCTCCCACCATCCCAGTGCCTGCTGCAGTAAGCCACTATCCTGACTTTTAGCACAGTAGATTTTTTCCTGTTTTTGATCTTACTATAAGTAGAATCACGCAGTGCTCTTTTGTGCATATGTGTCTTTCGCTCAGTTTCGTCTTCGTGAGATCCCTCCAAGCTGTTTGCATGTTGATGCTTGGAGGGGAATTGAGAGTTGGGTTGAGGCTCCGCATTCCGCCCTTGCTAGCGAGGGAGGTGGTGGAAGGGCAGTGTTTCGTCTGTGGTGTTTGGCTAGACCAGAGCAGTTAGTTTTTGTCTTACTAGGTTGCCCTTTTTTGTCCTTTGGGTGAAGAGAGCAGGCTTTTCTTGGAGTTTTTGTTTGTGTCCATTGGTGTTCTTGGATTGCCAATGTCTGGCTACCAGTCTGGGATGGGTGAGGCTGAAACAAAACTCAGGGCACTCACCACCACGGTCTCATCATTTGGGGGTCGCCAGCCAGCCTTCCTTCTTTTTCCCACTTTTCAGAGCCTTCTTATGCTTGTCTTTCATATGACCAGAGTTTTTAGCTGTCTTTAGTGGGGGATTAGGGAAAAGCATATCTATTCCATCTTTCTGGAAGTGAAAGTCTATTTTACTTTTGATATCTATTTTTATAAAGTTTTACAATTGTTAGGAAAAATAGATGAAATATTTTATGCATATATGGTCAGTTAACAGTGACTGTGTTCACCAAAACAAGAACTTTTAGCAGAAATGAATTTTAGGTAAAATATAATCCCATGTAATTCTTTTTACTTGAAGTACAAACTGAAGAATTTTAACCCTGTGTAAATTTAAATTCCTATGTTTATTGCAGAATCTTTTAGCTGAGAAAGTAGAACAGTTGATGGAATGGAGCTCCAGGCGCTCAATCTTCCGAATGAATGGTGACAAATTCCGAAAATTTATAAAGACACCACCTCGAAACTATTCTATGATTGTTATGTTCACTGCTCTTCAACCTCAGCGGCAGTGTTCTGTGTGCAGGTAATGTATGTATTTAAAAAATTAAAAACTATTATTGTATGATTATATGTTAGAGTTAAGATAAAAGTATATAATAGAATTAAACATTTGTTCAGTGTTGTAGTCAACTATAAGTGCATTTAAATGTAAGCTCAAAGTCATTGTTTTCTAGGAAATGACTTTGATAGGCTAATATTTTTATATTGTATAAAATATTTACTTAACCAATCCACATGTAATCATAAAACAGATTTTTTTAATCTTTATGTCCTATATAAAGGTACCTATGTTATAGAATTTGGTTCAAATATTGCCTTGTAGGTCACCTACATATATCTTAGGGGCAATGAAGTAGCCCCCTTAAACATACTCTGATTAAATAGTTTAATCAAGAGGCCATACTCAAGGAAGTCTGTTTACTTTTCAGTACCTCTAATGATGAGAAATTTCTTCCTGTGATATAGAAATTTCTTCCCATGATATGATTTGAAGTGAATGAATTATTTTTCAGTGGGAACATAGCAGAGAAAGTTTTGGACAAGTATAAATATATATACAACAGTGCTTATTTTAAATTAAACTTTTTAAGTTTGAGATAATTGTAGTTTCACATGCAATTCTAGGAAATAATACAGAGAAATCCTATATACCTTTTACTCAGTGACCACCCCGCCCCCAATGCTAACATCTTGTAAAACTGTAGCACAGTTTCACAAACAGGATATTGGTATTGATACAGAACAGTTCCATCACAGTAAGAATCCCTCCTTACTGTGTTGTTGCCCTTTCTAGCCACACCCACCCCATCTCCCCACCTCCTGAATTTATTCTCTATTTCTGTAATTTCATCATTTAAAGACTGTTATGTAAGTGGAATCATATAGTATATGACCTTATAGCTTTGGCTTTTTTTAACTTATCATAACTCCTTCAAAATCCATCCAAGTTGTTGTATTTGTCAGTACTTCATTCTTTTTATTACTGAGTAATATCCTATGGTATGGATGTACTGCAGTTTGTTTAACCATCCATCTGTTAAAAGACACCTGGATTGTTTCCAGTTTTTGGCTATTACAAATACAACTGTTATGAACATTCTTGTACAGGCTTTGTGTGAACTTAAGTTTTCACTTCTCTGAGATAAATGGCCAGAGAGTCCGATGGCTGAATTGCAATGGTAGTTGCATGTTTAGCTTTATCAGAAACTGGTAAAATGTTTTCCGGAGTGGCTGTATCATTTTACAGTCCCACCAGTGGTGTGTGAAGGATGTAGTTTTTCCATATCATCACCAGCATCAGTGTTGTCATTGTTTTATTTTAGCCATTCCATGGGTATATAGTTTTAAATTGCGGTTTTATTTTTCATTTCCCTAGTGTAATGGTGTTGAACATCTTTTCGTTTGCTTTTTTGTCATCTGTGTATCACCTCTTTAGTGAAATATCTTTCATGTCTTTTGCCTATTTCTAATTGAATTTTTTTTTACTGAATTTTGAGAGTTCTTTATATATTGTAGATACTAGTCCTTTGTCAGATATGTGGTTTTTAAATATTTTCTCCTAGTCTATGGTTTGTGTTTTCATTCTCATAACAAGGTCTTTTGCAGATTTTAATTTAGTGAGTCCAGTTTATCAATTTCCCCTTTTACAGATCTTACTTTTGTCATCAAATTGAACTCTTTGCCTAGCCCTAGATCACAAAGTTCTATTTTTTTCTCTTCTGTGTTGTTTTGTTTTCTGTTTTTTTTTTTTTTTTTTTTTTTTTTTGTTTTTT